TATTGGTATATTTTAGGTGTGATTTTGGCTAGGTGGGGGTAAATATAAATTGCTGTCAGTCATTTTTTGAAGGAGCAATGCATGCAAACTATTATTTTCTTCAATGTATGTCATATATCATTGAATAATGCTGTGCAACTGGTTATCTGCCTGTGAAACAGATTTTGAAATATTTGGAATTGTGTTTCTGGTCACACTGAAATACAAATTTTTTCACTTTTAGGTCCCCTGCCCCCTAAAGATAATATACACAATACATATATGATAACACCGTTTTACACCGTAATAGTGGACTTGACCACCGCGTCACGTACTAAAAAATTATCCTAAACGTACAGTAATGTACCTCAATCATAATTATCATCAGTTGTATCATCGCATCACGTTGTTTATTTCATTATCACAAAGAAAAAGAAGAGACTAAGAATATTTTATTTAACTCGTTATACATAAAACTAATATAGAAAAAGTTGTTCTCACAATATAACAAAACTAATAATTATCTGGAGAATTAGCTCTAATGATTATGAAATTAGTGTTGAATACAAGATTCTATGTCATTAATGAAGAATTTAACAGTGAATATATTAAAGACTGTTATAGTCTAGCATATAAATTCAATAAATCTTTTTTTCTTTTTTTTTCACGTGGCGCAATAGATAAAAGTTTACGTTTTTTTATTGATCTATAATTTGACTAAGCATTTCTATAAAATTCCACATACTAGGTTTAAGATAGAAATGACGTTAAAGCTGTCGAATTTTTAAATCACGGTCAGCATTGCATAAAAGAATAAAACTTTTTTTTCTGTCTCAGTGTATTGACAGAGTTCGCATAATATTATTCAAGTAATTAGTTTCATTAATATTTGTACTAATTATAAAATACATTTGACAACTATGATTGGTTCGGTGTAATAACTTATAATAAGAAACTGGGCATAAGTAAGTCATTGTGATAGAAATATTAAGGACGTGGGTACTTTTGCTGCAGGTTTTAAAGTTTTATGCTATTAAAACTAAGCGGCTAACCTGTAACTTGTTCTTATAGTTACTTTTAACTTACAATTCACCGTGTTGATAAAATACGATTTGACAGATTTAAAACCATGATCTCACAAAGTTTGCAGAATTCTCAAGTTTATACATAAAATTTATACAGAAGGAATTAATGATTTTTTTTCATAATCGTTTAATAATAGTGAGTTATCATCTGGAAATCGTGTAATTTCGTTGTCATCACTATTCATAAGTAAGTGTATCCTTTTTACACCATAACATTGTTATCCTTTTTACACCATAACATTTTATCCTTTTTACACCATAACATTGTTATCCTTTTTACACCATAACATTGTTATATTTTCATAGCTAATATTACTGTACAGCAAATTAAATGAAAATGTAACAGTCAAATAGGATCACCTTGTCTACCGTCGTGTTTACTTTGTAGATAGATAAACATTAAAATTTCCATATCATAGATATTTCAGTATTGTATCATAACTCTTCGTAATTCTCATTCGTTATAACTCATTCTGATAATGATGAAGTCTGTTGTCAGATAATGCTTTGTACACAAACTTTCATTTATCATTTGCTTTAAAACAAAACTTGTACATGTATTTCTAAATATGTGTCTTAACAAAGTTCATTATAAATAATAGGTTAATGTGTTTATTTCTAAACAAATACGCAATTAATATTACATCCTGTTTAAATTAACAACCCTCTTTTAGGGTTATAACTTGTCAAAAATATTATTAATATTATATAATAGCTGATTTATCTTTTTCTTAACAAACACCCCTCGATAGTATTTTTAACATACTGGTAACCGGCAAGAACCAAAGCCGGGGCCACACGTCTTTGCAAAACATGTTCTTGTTCTCCCTAACAATAAAAACATATTAACAGAAATTTTCTTCATACAGGCAATGAGCTCGTTAGTTGTTGTAGCCATTGATTTCGGGACAACATATTCAGGATGGGCGTTTTCATACAAGTCTGATTATGACCGAGATCCTCTGAAGATAACAGCAAAGAATATTCCACACTCAACTTTATCACTTAAAGGTACAATATTATCTCCTTCAGTTTACTCATTTGAAAATATGAACATGATAAAAAGGATGACTCTACAGTCTTAAACGAACTTGTTCAATATCAAGATTTTCCATCCCTAGTGAAACTGAAAGTATATATAGTTTATTATCTAAGCATATGTATCATTTGATTCTAAAACATATATCGACAATTTGAGAAAGGATATTTGAAATGAAATATTACGTATTTTAGTCGTTCATTACGTATTTTAGTCGTATTACACTCGTATTACAGTCATTTCGTTATAAATGTACATGTAACTATCAAATTGCTGTTTCCGTTATGACTATTATATTTGCCCGCGCGAAGCTCGTCCGATAATCTAAGTATAGACATAATTATTTCGTAATATCTTGGACAATCATAAGTATAATTTGTATATGTCTTTCACAAATTGTACGATAGGTGATTTGATGGGGGACTTTATCAACTTTGAACTGATGTTCAATGTTTAGAACGATGCATAACATATATTTAATTGTTATGCTTAAAGTTTATTTGATTAGTTTGGTTTCGAATATTTATTATTTTGGCATGGTGTGTTGCCCATGAGAACTTTTCACTGAGGCCGCATTGCGCGATATAAGATACATGTTGTTATATATAATACGTTACATAAATGTGTTCTTCCTTTAGTTTTATAAGTGTCAGCGGGACTTTCAATAATATATTATTCACGATAACACCATCAGTCCGACAAGAAAGTATTTAGTGTCCGTAGCTGGATAATGACGGACCTATAATATAGCGGCATGTACAAAACATGCAATAACAAAAGTTATCAGAATTTTTATAGAAATATTGTTAACTAAACAATATGATTTCCTTCTTTGTTGAATTTTTACCATAATTTTCTGTAAAAGTGCTGTTAAATATGAGTAAGAACACACAGTTCTTCGAGTGTCAAAGCATCATCATGACCTTTACATTGAACTGGCCTTCAGTCCGATAAATGTTCGCGTTCTTACTGATCGGTCACAGTAATTCAATGAGGCCCTTGATCCTGTGTACTATTTTGTTATAAATTGAAAATTATATTTAGTAGACGAAATATCGGCGATGAGACGATACTTATTCTATCGTTAATTTTCAGTTTTCAAAACGCAATTTGATAAACTAATTAAGTCATTAAGTTTTCAAGTTATAAGTATCGTCCTATTCGTATCATATGCACCGTTATATTTCTAAAAAATTGGTCTTTGTTGCAGCATCAAAACACTTAGAATCCATTGTTTTTAAAGGCCCAATGTGTATGCTCATATATGTAATTATGAACATGAATTGGAAAAATAACTTATATAAAAAAAAGAAAGGACAAGGTTAGATAAGACATTTTTGGATACTCCTAATACTGTAATATATCTTTTTGATACAACGGCACTCAGTTTTCGTCTTCTGCCAGCCTTTACCCTTTCACGTCATTATTTATACATATGTTCCAGAAAATATTATTTAATGTTCGGTTATTTTTATTGTAAATATCAATATGATAATAGTTAATGTTATTATTCCAATATCAATCTCACGCAAATGTCCTTGACAACTGTGTGTATTTTGTTTCTACTGATGCAAAATCAAAACTATTGGTTTCAGTTCCGACCTGCATTCTTATAAATTCTGATGGAACAACGCCAGATTCTTTCGGTTATGATGCTGAGGACAGATATGCTGAAATATGCGAGAAAAAAGGGAACAACACAAATGATTCTTCTTCAAAAGATTTAAAATGATGCTTTTTAAAGAAAGTGTATGTATAATATGAATACCACATATTAAGTACATCAATCATAAGTACGCGCATGCATGCAAACCTCTATCTATCCATGTCTTTCTCCCTCCCTGTCTGCAAAGACGAGGGCGAAATGAGACATTCTCAATGATTATTAAGAATTTTTTATGTGACGTAATTACTCGTACCTTACAACTTGAACTGGTATATTGCTAGACAATTAATTTCGTATACACATGCATATTTTGTAGTATGCAGCGAGGTGGAATTTTTTTACAGAATTCAGAATTAATTACATGTACGAGTAATTATGTAGTGAAATATCTAATTAGGAAGTGATCACACGTAAACAAAACGTACATATGAATAAATAAGTGACTTTGTTATAAATTAATCGTACCAAAGGTATATAAGAGCAAAATAAAACAGCATTGTTTATAAGTTAAAATGCCTTGTTTAAAATCATAAGGAGTGTCCGCATCTCAACGAATAAACAAGTATTACCTCAGCAAAATGAAAAGTGCTTGAGCTGACCCCATATTAAAAATAATAAATACATTAAAGTGCCTGTGCATACTTATGATAAGTTGTTTGAAATATATCTGAACTTAATAACAAAAATAGAATGACATCAACGTTTAGTTTTGAGATTTATTCTTTTTATAGTTACTGTTCAACTTCGACCAACGTATTGTTTCATTTTACCCCTCGCCAGGGGCAATGTAAATCACACAAAAATGTTTTGCAGTAATTTATAAACAAAAATAAAGTTAAATTGAAGTAAAATAATACAAAGAGATTAATAATTGGGCTTGTCATATTGAAAAAAAAAACAGTTTCGATTTTCCCCGGTTTCCTCATCAAGCTATAAATTTAGATAAACTATGTTTCGCTTAAGTACATATAAAATAGTATACATTATTCATTTCGCGGGTTTATTCAGACAGGTTTATTTATTTATTTATTTTGGGTTTTACGTCACATCGACTCAGTATAGGTCATATCGCGACGTTCCAGCTTTACTGGTGGAGGAAGACCTCAGGTGCCCTTCCGTGCATTATTTCAGGCACGAACAGGCATCCAGACAGGTAACTTGACATTACTTACAAAAACATGTATCGAATATTTAAGAAACTTATTGTATATTGTATCTTATGTATAAGGGCATGACAAGACGTGATACACTAGAAGATGAGACTGGTAAGAAACTACCGGCAATGAGGGTTTTCTCGCTATCTATTGATTTCTTGAGGAAGGGTATTCTTGATACTCTAAGCAAACATGTTGATGGCACATTTATTGCGTCTGACATACAATGGGTGCTTACTGTTCCAGCAATATGGAACGATGCAGCTAAACAGTTTATGAGGGAGGCAGCACGAAAGGTATATTGCATTAATCAAAACGGATAAAACGGATAAAATTATTTAAATAAGTTAAACGCTTTTAGTGTAAATGAACAAAGAATCAAGTCATTAATAACATGTCTAAAGATACATACAAGTGTGTTACATATTTCAAAATCTGTTTATCAACGAACCTCTACTAAAGAAGGGAATTATTCATATAACCCTACGACAACGCTGTTCGTCTATAGTCACGAACTGTCGTGGCCTTATCTTGATTAAAAATATATTTACATAGTTATTTCCATTATTTGCATATATTCTTTTATACGATAATTATTTTACGAATTTAAGCTGATTTGAATATTTACTTCATCCAGTCGAATTAACCCTTTGATTTCATAGGCTACGATTCCAGAAAGCCTAACGTTATGTCTTGAACCAGAAGCGGCATTTATTTATTGTCGTCATCTTCCAATGTCAAAGTGTACCAAACAAGAAGTTACATCGATTTCCCAGTTTTCACCAGGAACAAAATATATTGTTCTTGATGCAGGAGGTATTCTTGTTAAATGTTTTACTAAAACGAAACGCTAAAACAAACTGTTTTCTAATTTGATAAACTTTTGTATACAAGTATTATCTTGTCTAAACCTGTCAGAAAAAAAAAATCCTTTGTATTTTCTTTTGTAGGCGAGTAATATGCATGTTCATTTTTTTTTTAATTTCTAAAGAGTAAAGGATTTTTGAGTGGTTAATTGTTTGTTTCCTTTAACAGGAGGAACAGTTGACATAACTGTACATGAAGTAACTGACGATGGAAACTTGAAGGAACTCCATAAAGCAAGTGGTGGTGCATGGGGTGGAACCAAAGTGGATGAGGCATTTGAAGAGTTTCTATCAAGTATTGTTGGTAGGTAACTCATATTTGACACAAAGAAATATTTTACAGTGAACCATTTTTTAAATCATAACGTATACATAAGAAGTGAATATGTAACAGCAATTGTTACCTTTACGGAAAAAAAGTTTTCTAAAAAGCTTTTAAAGCTTCCTACGTAATCAGTAAAATTATTTTATGTCTTCTTTCGTGCAAAGAAAATAAATATTCTTTAAACAGACTGTAAATTTGGATAAATTTTTGTTAACCCAGACTTCTTATGATTAAGACTAATTATCGTTGTATGAACTTAGATATGTTTCAGTTTGTATTTATCAATACCATATCAATATAATAGCAATGATATCAGATGAACAAGGGTTTACTTTAGATTATCAATCAATCTTATTTCAGGACCGGTTGTCATCTCAAAATTCAAAAGTCACTATTTAGAGGATTTCATTGACTTTTTTCGTGAATTTGAAAGCAAAAAACGCAAACTTATTCAATCTACAACATTCGTGACTATGCGTTTCCCAGCTAGTCTTTCTGACTTATGTCCAGAAGTCAAAGAAACGGAATTTAGGGAATTAATACGACAGTCTAGATTTGAAAGCAAGGTCCAGGTTTTACGAGATAAGTTGAAGATTGATGGTGACGTCATCAATGAGTTTTTTGAACCAACCGTTCGCAAAATAATTAGTCATGTAGAAAATATATTGACGGAATCTTCCGTTGATGGTTGTGCTGCCATTCTAATGGTTGGTGGATTTTCTGAATCATCGGTGTTGCAAAGGAATGTAAAGTCCACATTCAAACACCTGAAAGTTATCGTTCCAGACGACGCAGGATTAGCAGTCTTAAAAGGAGCTGTCATCTTCGGGCACAAACCTACAACAATAACTGAAAGAATATGCAAATTTACATACGGGCATGGGTTTTCTCATAGGTACAATGAGAGCTGCAAACATCGGAAGGGAATAGTTGAAAAGGATGAAAATGGAGATATGAGATGTTATGACTTATTCGACATTCGTGTTAAAGCAGGACAGTCTGTCAAGGTGGATGAAGAACAACCAGAGAGAATATGCACACCTGTTACTGATGATCAGACTGCTCTTGCCATCAATGTTTATGCATCCACTTCAAGTAATCCGCAGCTTACTACAGAAGATGGATGCAATCTCATTTGAAAATTGAGGGTGCCTATTTCTGACACAAGCTCTGGAAGAAACCATGAATTTGGAATAAGTTTCATTTTTGGAGGGACCGAGATTGTTGTAAAAGTCGTTGACAAGGAGTCCGGCGAAATTATGGTACAATCTGTCGATTTTCTTGGTTAGAATATAACTAAACTAAATCAGAACACTAAAACAGACATATATACTTGTTATTGTTTAATTTGTTTGGGAGTAAGAGTAATCATATATACTGGATACATATATATTTTATATTTTTTACTGTTTAATTTGTTTGGGAGTAAGAGTAATCATATATACTGGATACATATATATTTTATATTTTTTACTGTTTAATTTGTTTGGGAGTAAGAGTAATCATATATACTGGATACATGTAGCAATATTATTGTTTTATTTTATTGCTTGAAGCACATTGCGTTCATAGCCAATCCTTTCATAATACATGTTGTATTGCTAAATATTGCTTTTTGTATATTATATATCTTAATTTTGTAAAGCATTGCGTTCATTTTCTGTCGTGGACGATAATTATATTGATGGCATTTCAATGCACTTGATATAGTAACATCTATTTGTCTTACTAACTATAATATAGTAACTCGTATAATCATTCTTGTAAAGTAGCAAATGCAATAAATGGTTAAAAAACATGAACTAATTGATTATACAAACTTCTGTGATCATTTTAACTCTTAAATTGCTTATCATTTAGTGAAATGCAATCGATAAGAAATTGTGTTAGAATGATTTTTTCCCATTAGTATCCAACATTTCCATTTGTGCTACAGCATATGCTGTCATTAAAGACTCATATACTCATATACATGTATTTAACTAACACATAATGTGTATTCATTTATTATAAAATTAAGTATAGTGAATAAAAGCAAAATAATTCACACATAAAAACCATTGTTTCTGTTGTACTTGCTTTAAAATGAATTTAATTAAATTATCCTTTTGAATTTGTGAAAAGGATTTGCCCTGCTTTTAATTAATAACAGTCCAATTGTATGGAGCCCCTAAGGTGATATTTTCGACATTTTTTCCCGGTATTTAATTTTTTTACGAAATATTAATTCGTTTCTACGAAATATTAATTCATTTTTTACGAAATATTTATTCGTTTTACGAAATATTAATTCGTTTACACGAAATATTAATTCGTTTTACGAAATATCTATTCGTAATCACGAAATATTAATTCGTAATTACGAAATATTAATTAGTATCTACGAAATAATAATTCGTTTTTTACGAAAAAAAATGTAATTACGAAATTAATTCATTTTTACGAAATAATAACTCGTTGTACGAAATAATAGCACGTCTTAACGAAATATTAGTTCGTATTAATTTTACGAAATATTTATTCGTTTATATGAAATATTAATTCGTAATTAAATCGTATTTAAGGTCTACTAATCTTACAAAGGGGTCATTTACAAGTCTGGATCAACCTTGCTATTATAAGCCGAATGGATTTCAAGTTCTTATATTTAAGTGAACAGGGTTAATGAGTGGGTGTATGAGTGAGAAGTCATTCTCAATCCAAAATATCATCTTTTTCACCACATGTTCCCATCATTTATGTTTTAACTTTTGAGGCAATTAATCTTTTCTGACATGATTCTCTAAAATAGCTATATAATTACTTTCTTTTATCATATACATTAGTAAAACTAAACGCTTGCGGAGAAATAAGTAAAATAGAGAAATACAGAATCCTTAAAGATAGCCCAACACGACAAAATTGAAAATGTTGCAGACTCGGTTTGATTGAGCCTGTTCATGGACGGAAATGGAAGGTGCAAGTTACCGTCCACGCCCCCTAGCTCCGGTTTAGGCAGAATTCAACATTTAAACGTGAAATGGTGATATTTTGAATTTAGAAACATCCGCAGATGTGTTTATACGGCGGTTATCATGTAACCTTCAACGTGACATTTATGTGCCATTCCATGAAAAGCGTTGTATGGTCCCCAAGTAAAAGAACGCTTGTGCCCCAAACGAAAAAGCAATGGGCGGAACTAAATAAACTGGAATTTTGAAAGGGGATCTGAGGTTATGAAGCTTGCATAACATAGATATGACGTCAAAAGACAATTTTAAAGCAGGCAACATATCTTAAGGTTGATTAAACAGTATTCCAGAAGGAATAATGGAACCGCTTATGTTGCAAAATACAAAATAGAAGAAACAAAAAGTACCAAATGACATGTATACACAACAATAATGTCGTGTTGAACGATCTTCACGGATCGGAAATATAACATATTAATTGATTAAATGTACAAGGAGACTTTTTACAGCCGCCACACGGCACAAATAACACGGATGTGACACTGAAATAGAGAAATACAGAATCCCTAAAGAAAGCTGTTTCATTATCCAAGAGAGCTGGTTAATTAGGTGGATTGAGTGCCTAGATACGACCAAAAATTGTGTTTCAATCGGCGTAAAAAACAAATTTGGAAAAAATGGATCTATTTTTCGACGGGTTGAAGGTCTTTTCGTATTAAAATCTTTTAATTCTTGATGGACCATTCCGAACACAACTAAACTGTATCTAACGCAAAGGCCCCAGCATTGTTCAACGATGTTAATTGCTACTTCATCCCTGCGCCCTTTGATGTTTGTTTCAATGATGTTCTTGCTTCCCTTCTTAAAGGGGTCGGGGATTATCCTCGGTGTACTAAGTATATGTAGTTTTCTAAAATATAATTTGTGTTAGTTGTTTAAACAGTTAGATAAAGCCTTCATAAACAACATTTTATTAAGTTCATAAACACCTGTTGAAAGGTTCCTTTTGATAATTTATCCATAAAACAGCATGCCTTTGGACTAACAAAAAATGTCTTGGAAATTTTAAGTAAATATTCAAACAGTTGTTGATTGTGCAAAATAGAGTGGTTCACACAATTTGTTTAAAGGTATGAAAACAAGCAAACACTCCCAAAATGGTTGTGATAGTTCACTCAGTTGGTTTCAAGCTGAATGCAACTCCAAGGTTAAAAAATGGAATGCTGATAATCGGAAGACGTTTTGAAATTAGTTGCATGATTGTATAATGTCATAGGAAGTTTATTATTGACCAAGTGAACATAAATTTTTTGGAATGTACCGCCCGCAGGATCGTTTCTTCCAAATTGGGCCTGGAACAAAGCTGAATAGAGTAGATATTTCTGAATCACTGTCAAATTAACCTGTCATATTCCAACTGTAAATGGTTTTGTGACAGGGCTGCTGACATTTGAATAAATCATTCTTGAAAACCAATAAAAACACCTGGATCTTACAAAAGTTTACTATGCGATGTCTGCTGTATTTCTTGGTCTGTAAAAAAAAGATAAGTAAACGATAAATTTCTTGTTACAAAATCAGACCATATTGTTAGATATATATTTTGTGGTGAACAAAAGACAGCTAAAAGATTCGATTTAGCAATCTATGATCAATTACACACTGCACAAGTGACAGTAGTAGGGATTGACGGATGTGATACTTAAGAAGTATAAATTGTGACTCTTATTTGCGCTCTCCATGCGAGGCTTTCATTTTGAAGCGCCCTCAATGGACAGTTGATCAAGTTAAATTTCGTTTAAATTTGCTAAATGCTGCATGATTGTTGACGTTGAAATCTTATATAAATGACACACAACACATACTTAGAATTTAAGAAAACCGTAAATGGCTGACCGTCGCTCAGCCATTTGCAATTATCTAAAAGTTCACAAGAAATTTAATCATGGAAACTTCGCAGCTTACTTTTTATAGGTTTCGGTACATAGTCTGTCTTGGTTAGTTTTAAAATTTTTCAGTACAAAATGTTTTTTTTTTATTTCCGACATAGGCAGTAACTTTGCCCAAAAGGCCTTCATCAAGTTGATTTAATTTCAGACTTCAGAATCAAACTTAGACGCGCCCTAGGGAACACTTGATATTACAAAACTCTTTGAATACTTTGAAAACTATCACTTTAGGTGCCGCTCAATACTGCCGAGCAACACTTTATTTTTAACAAATATGTTTATACTTTTCAAACAAGCCATTTCAGAGATTGGCAAGATATGCATCAAACAAAATACTGTCGCTTAAATTTATTTGATTTTTCCTATATTGTAGCTGCCATTTTTTTATTACTGGCAGTTAAGTTTAAAATCAATTTATTTCATAATCTACACTATAAGTACACATAATAGTTAAATTCAAAACAAGAAAGTTGTGATGGCTTTTGATCGCTCACCTGTGTTGTGGTTTATATGGTGAACAATTTTATTATTTGCCCAATCACATAAAGTTGCATCGAAATTATTAACTAAAGTCAATCACTTAAATCTTATTTCTATATTGAGTTTTGCAGGCGGTCTTGCTAATAATGATTTAATCAACTTTAATTTAAAGTGTATCACTAAATGATATTTTTATTGAATTTATTTAATAATCATAATTTTAGCCCAGCGGTCCAGAAGATATTTATTAAAATTAATTTCTGCTTTTAGATCTGGCAGCCATCTTGATCAACCAACTTGAGTCTATCCTTTTTTTGGAAAATACCATTTTATGATATTTTCTATAGTTTTATTGGTTAAAATGGATAGTGTAGAATAATTGCTCCTTGATACGCAACGTATTGCCTCTCTCTATTCTAAATTATAATTGAAGCAAATTTACAAAAACCGGTAGATAATTCAAAACTATGACCAAACTGGCTTCTTCACCTTTAGTAGTCACAATGTATCATCATTCCGAATAAGTTTGGGGTCAGTCTCTAGCAAACTACTGGAGGTAATGGCTGGGAAAATTGCGTTAAGAATAGACAATTGAAAAAAAGACTAGTAATGTTTTAAGATAATGTTCCCCTGTTGATCATAGTAATTGTTTAAGTTAATGTTCTCCTAATGACATGATTGATCATAGTTATAGTTTTAAATAATGTTCTCCCATTGATCTTAGTAATAGTTTAAGATATCATTGTCCTATTGATCATAGTTATAGTTTAAGTTAATGTTCCCCTATTGATCTAAGTAAAAGCTTTAGTTAATGTTCTCCTATTGATCATAGGAATAGTTTAAGATAATGTTTTCCTATTTATTATAGTAATATTTTGGGACAATGTTTTTTATTATTTGTAGTAACAGTTTCGGAAATTGTTCTCAGAGAACTGTTCCTATTGATCGAAATAATAATTAAGTTAATGTTCGTCCATTGATCATGTATTCAAGTCTATGATGAA